CTTCATCCAGTCATTCCAACACCTCCAAAGATGCTGTAGGAGATGCTATATTTGTACTGAGTTATGCATGCTTGGGTTTGGATGGAAGCATTTATCACCCACTCCTATTATCCTGCGAACTACCACTCCTGTTCCCTTTCATCTCACTCAGAGTGTTGTTTTCAGATGCTTACTGGCTGCAGAGAAAAGAAGGCTTGTGAAAAGTGCTGCCTTCTGACCAGTGGCTCAGGTTGGAGTGACCTTCTGGAGTGTGGGGGTAGATTGTTATCACTTCTGTTCTACTTGGCTCGGTTATAGAGCTGAGCATAACAATCTAGAGCTCTAGCAGAATGGAAGAGTCGCATGATGGTTCGCAGCTTGTGGGTGGGCGTGCGAGCCCACGCAGAATTTATTTCTGTTGGCTGTGTCAAATGAGTGCCGCACAGGGAGATGATGTTATCAGAGCCATGTCTTTGAGCTATTCATATATTGATCTCCGCATATAAGCATATGTGCCTCCGACTATGTCCTCTGCCCGTCTTTTTTTTCATTAAGTGTATCATTGTCTGTGCTGAGTTTCTTGCTTACTCTGAGGCACTGGTAAAAGGTATTACTCCAGCACTTGGGAGACTTTTATGGGACCAGTTTGTATTCTTTGTTTAGGACCCCTCTTTCCACCTGCTTTGAATAACATTAGGACTTGGAAATAGGACAGACAATAATGTGTAGGGTGTGGATACGCAGGACTTGATTTAACTTCACAGATATGTGTCTTTTGCTTGCAAGTGTGTCAGGTTATTATATGGGAACTTTTATTATTGTGTGTTTTTAAATTCATTCAGTTAATCGCAAACACTGTATCATATGTATTTCTTCCAAAACTTTATTGGTTTTACTGAGAGACCAGATTCTGCTCATCTTATACATTGTGTAGTTCATGTCACTTGTGTAAATAAGGCCACTAGATGTGGTCCCCAAGGTCAGAACTTGGTTACCTTTCTCTGTCTGTCGGATCCATGCTATGTATGTGGAATGCTGTCATGTCAAAGATGACTTGAATATTTCCTTTATGTAGGGGCAGACTGTACCTGTTTTTTTCAGAGGTTGAGTGTAGAACTTTTGCTTCTGTTGTCTTACTTCCGCTGCTGGCAGTTTTTTTTCTTCCCTGGCTTCTGAAGACACTGATTGTAAAATCTGGGGGTGTGATGTCAGCTTCTGTAATTGATCATTAGAAGAGGCCTCCAGCATCCTTTTTTGTAGCACCCACAGTATTTTGTTACTGAAACATATTCCTAATCAATGTGCCTGTATGTGTGGGCATGCTCAACCATTTCTAGTCAAGCTCAAAGTCAGCTGCATTGGGATGTGCATGCATAGGCTGTTGAGCAGACAGTTTTGGTTTACTGCCAGTGGAGTCTCTTGCTGTTGCATTTAAAAAAATACTAGCAAAGGAATGGGTGATTTCTATAGACTCCAGAGATTTTCATATCTTCCCAGTTTGTGGGAAGAGGCACTCCTGAGATTCACCCATAACTTACTACTTTTACTGCCTATTGAAGGACAGTCTCACTTTCTGGGCTTAGTCCAATGTGAAAGCAGCTAATCACGTCCTTTGTTTTGTCAGAGACATTCGAGCTTGGGTGAATCTCATGATGTTCTCAACAGCCAAGCACTCAGCTCACATGGAATTTGGTCTGCGCCAGGCCAATCTCTTCAGTCTGCAGAACTGGGCGGGAAGCCTCTAGAAAAGAGTCTGCAGAAAGCCACCCCATTCTGGACATGCAGTTCTCGGGGTACCTTTCCCCCATGGCGATTGTTGAGCTGCGAAACTGTGCATGCGGACCTTGAGTAATGAAGAGTCTCTCTAGTTGCCTCATGATGACCCTTTCTGATGTCTATTGGGGCTAATGGATTTCTGCCACTCATTCTGGACCAGCAGGGATGGTGACTGCTTTGTCTATGCTTCAGAAGCAGTACTTTGAACTGAAAGTGTGGCCATGGCACGAACGCTGGGTGAGAGCTCTCCCAGCACTCTATGTAACCCACCTCTGCAAGGGGAGTAGCTGTTAGCACTGGGCTAATGGCTCCTAGGCTGTAGCCTGGTTTACACTTGGAGGAGGGGTGTTTTTTCACACCCCGAGCCAGAAAGTGACAACACTTTAAAGTGGCAGTGTTCACTTGGCCTGTCTGCAGGGATTTCAATATGGTGGTGTGTGGGGTTGTTTTTTGTTTTTTTTAAATTATGGGTGGTGGGAGGGTTTCCACTGGGTACATGGAAAATTGAGGTGGAGGGAAGGAGAAAAGCAAACATTGACTGCCCATTTGAACTGAATTTCAGGAGACATGACTGAAAGTAAAGCAAAGAAGATTGAAATAAAAGATGTTGATGGGCAAACACTAAGTAAGCTGATTGATTACATCTACACAGCCGAAATAGAGGTCACGGAAGAGAACGTGCAGGTAAGCAGGTCACGGAAGAGATCTCCTGAAAACAGAAGGGAAAAACCTTCGTGGCTTAAATCGCAGACGGAGGAGCCGTCCGTGTAAGTGATGCCTGCAGGCTACACAAAACGAAGGGCAGTGTGTGATGTGTGATACTTTTCTTTTCTGTATAGTTTTGAGGCAGGAGCTGCTTTTGTTGCACAATAAGTCGTTATAATTGCTCTTTATTTCCTGTTCCTATTTTAAGGCTAGAGACACAAGATGGGGGGGGAGGTAATATCTTTTACTGGACCAACATCTGCTGGGGAGAAAGACAAGCACATGAACTCAAAAGCTGGTTGGTCCAGTAAAAGATATTACCGCCCCCACCTTATTTCTCTAATATCTTGGGATTGTCAGTGATACAGTATCACTGCATGTAATAAGACTAGGCCTTTACCTTCTAAGAAGCCTTGCTAACTTGTTGGACTTGTCTGTGAAAGCTCAGAATACACTAAAACAAGCAGCTAGCAGGATGATGGTTTTTAAGGGGCCAAAAACAATTCCTATGATGGTGAGTTCAAATTGGAAGTTATGCGGGTTGTGTGAAGCTTCGAGTAGAATGCAAATTTAGAGTTAAAATTAGAGCATGTATGGACACTTTCTGTTCTTCCTTCCTTTGCGTGCTTCTTAGACTTGAGGCTCTTTGGGGGAAGGTCTGAGTCTCCCCTCTCACTGGTATAAATCAGGTGCATCCTGAAAGGACTTGTGCCAATGTAAATCTAGTGTGACGTGCAATCAGATTTGGGCTCCTTTACGCCAGTCTGTAAAGCACTTAGTACTCTAGAGTTGCTGTCCAGATAATACGGAATACTGGTAAGCTGAGATGGGAGAGGAGAGAGTTGTTTCATGTGGAACTTCTAATACAAATTAAGAACTTAGTAAATTCAATTTTGGTTATAAAGTCCTGTTTTTGGGAGCTATAAGTAAAGAGAAGAGAGGTTGTTAGGAGAGGTGGTTGCATGAAGTGGGGAATAGATAGGTGACTGTTAAGAATAGAACAGAAGTTACTGAATACAAAGAAAGCAAATATTTTGCACCAGGGGAAGAGTCATGGAAAGGGTACAGTAAACTAGTATATTCTGTAGGTAAAGTATGATGCTCTTGCCGGGGGAAGGAAAGATGGTGGTATTTTTGCTCTTGTTCTGTGTCTGCATGAAAGATATTGAAGGTGCCTCATGCTTACATTTATATTTATGGCAGGAAAAACAGCTGGTGGGTGATGCATTATTAAATTTCAAAAGGGATGTTGGGCTCTGATAGGTTTGAGTTCAGTTGCCGTGGCTACTTGTTTGAAAATGGTAGACTTGCGCATTGCTGTAAGCAGTCTAATGTAGCTGCTCTAAGCCAATGGGGGTGAGCTCGCCCTTTGGTTTAACTGCTCCCACCCCTGTTAGGTCAGCTTTCCCACTGACACAGTGCTGTGCATACTAGCACTTACATCAGTGTAACACTTGTCATTGGAAGGGGTAGTTTATTCACACCCCTGAACAACATAAACTATACTGAGATAAGCTGTAATGTAGGTATAGCCTTAATGCCAATGATTTTCCTTTTATGAATAATTTTGAAATTGGACAAGGCATCTGCAATGCATCGCCGCATGATGTAGTGAAAAATGGGCACGAGAGAGAGCTCTAGGAAATACTACAGTGTGTGTTTTAAATGGCCTTTATTTGAAAACGCAGAAGCTGCAGGAAGCACTTTACGAAGCTGGTTTCAGGTGATAAGGTTCTTGGTGCAAATGAGATGCCCGCTAGCATTGTTCAATCCTTTAGGACTTGGGAGACCAGGATTCTAGTGTTTGTTCTGCCTCTGACTTCCTGCCTGATCTTGGGCAAATCACCTAGCTGCTGCGCCTTCGTTCCTCATCTGTAAAATGGAGAAAATAGCAGGGTCGTTACAAAGATCAATATGTTAACGATTGTGAGGCACTCATACACCACATTAATAATGCGGTGTGTAAAAGCCTTGGATAACTCCCAAATAATGTGTATTGGGAAACGTGCAGTTTCTTGACTCTCTGGGAGCTTGCATCTTATGGGAAGGGATATGGCTTATGCATTGCCAAAACTAGTCCTGATGTTTACCATAAGACAGACAGACCAGTTCAGATTGTATGTCTCTCTTCTATCCAAATGATGGCTTTCAGGAACTGAGCAGAGCCTTGTGTCTTAATAGCCTTCACTCCGTGTTGGAACACATAATTGAAGTAAGGACCAATCTATCCTTTTTCAAATATATGCAGTCAACTAGTTCAAACCCATGTGTACAAGGGCCTAGATAAGTCCAACAGGCATTGAGAGGTTTGCATGAACCAAATTAAAATAAATCCCCAAACAGCGTCACTTCCACATGACTTGTTTGAACATCATGTGCCCCCCCCCAAAAAAAAACCCCCCAGAATTGAGTTAATACATGAAACTGCATTAACTTAAAGTGAAACAGATTAGAAACAAAGATGGAATGGACGTTTTAGTTGGTTTCATTATGCAAGTTGAGTGATACTGTCATGCAAATATTATAGAATTTAATATAATTTTATGTTGAAACCAGTAGGATAGCAATTACTCTTAAACACTCCTAGCAATGCATAGAGAATGAGCTCTTTTCAATGGTGCCTTTTTTTAACCATTCTACAGAACATAGCATTTCTGTTTCTCCTACAGGGTTCCCTACCACTGCTATAAAAAGATCATTCTTTGTCATATTCTTTATCTCTGTCTTTCTCTTCACATAGTTTTCCAAAGAAGTTCAAACAGCATTAATGATGAAGAATGAGTCTGTTAATGTCTCAGGTGTATCTGCTAAAAACAAGTGAGGATTTTTTTTAATGCTGATTCTCTTCATCCCATACATCACAGTCCCAATATTCCTTGTCCCCAGCCATGCCTCTCAAAGCGAATAATTTTCAAATGTAGTATTATCTTGACTTGTCTTTTTTTGCTAGCAGAGTTCACTCCCATGCACTCTCTGTTAGGTCTGACATACTGCTGGCTTTAATTTCTTTTTCACTCACCGGGTACCTTGGGAATACTGGTATTCTCATCTCATTGATTTTGTCCTTCTGGTTGGCTGGCTGTGGATTTTTAAAGGGATTTTTAATTTAGCTGTGACTTTTCATATTTCCTAAACCTGAGAGGGGAAGAATTGCTTGGTACAGTTGGCACCAAGTGGGGCCAAATGTTTTCATTACACACGTTCCAAGACATAAATAACAAAATGACATACGCTGAGCAGGGGCGGCCATGCTACTGAATCAGGTAAATAAATGAAAGCACAGAATTTTTTCAGAGAGGAAAAATGAAATGAGAGTGCAGTTGAAATTAGAAATCATGTTACTATTAAGGCAATGAATATTCCAATGTATGCCCAGAGTTTGAGCAATGTGCAGCACTTACTGAAATAAGCTGTAATAGATTTTAATTACCCATTTGCTGTTACAGTCTTAAAGAACAGGAAGTGTAGCTATTTATTGTCCAGATGTTGAATGGTGTGCAGAGCTGCAGTAGATCTTCTGACCTGGAATAGAGAGCATTCATGGGGTAAAGTTCCATTTTCCAGGGCACATCTTTTTTTTGTAACTATTCATCATTTAAGTACATGGGATTACCACAATAGGAAAGTCTCACCTCGAAAGGACTAAGTGTCTCTAGCATTAGTTTGGGATTTTCTGTCGTATTCATAGTAATTAGTGAGAGGGTCCATGAAATTCTGTGTCAAGAAGATCCAGATACCTTCAGAGGATGCAGTCTGAATCTGGACCTGGTGGTGACCTGTGGGCAATAGGGGAAAGCCAGGGAGTCATGCATGTTTCTTTTTCCAAGCTCCATAGGGAGTACTTGGGTGTGAGTTTCCTTGGCTGGAGTTAAACTCCCTTTGTGCCTTGGAATCCCACCTTCAGGGAAGTGTTTTGGGGCAGTCACGAGCAATATTCTCCCTTGGAGCATGTCTGCATGGAACTGGTGGCCCTGAGATGGGAATATCTGCATGGAACTGGTGGCCCTGAGATGGAGGACAGTCCTCGGGCCTCTGTGTTAAAATGGTATTTCATCTCTGGTACATCCTCTCTTAGTACACATGGTCTGGTGTAGAACGCCCATTCCAGTGGGGGGAGGAAATTCCTCTCTACCATGCAATGATCTGAGGAAATCTTTATATGCAGTCTTCCCTGCTGCCTCTTGCTGTTATGTGGTGTGGTTCGTACACGTATGCACACACGCATGCCACCACCACCCCTTGTGGGGAGGGAAAAACTGGCCCTAAGGGATTTGCACACACACATGCCGCCACCACCCCTTGTGAGGAGGGAAAAACTGGCCCTAAGGGATTTGCAAGACCACACAGCTTCTGTAGGTCTAGTTCTGCCCATGGATGCCCCCAGACAGCACCTTTTTGGCTTCATTGGAAGTTAGGTGTTTGCCTCTGAGCAGAGTGGGTTGAGAGTATTCTAGTTACCTGGCGTGGTAGGACCCTGAAAATCTGGCTGTTACCCTGCCGGTTCTGTAGGTTTCCCAGTTAATAGAAGATTCCAAATTGTAGCGGAAATGCATGTTTCTCCAGTTGCTTTTCATTGCTGGCGGCTCACTAAAGAGTTACAGGGAACAGAGTAAGGATGGTAAAGACTAGTCGACTATCTGATAAGCATTTGTTTATCGGATAGTCGAGTCAACTAGTTGCTCCCCCCCCTCCCTCTTTGCTGCCTCTACCAGATAGAGGCAGCGAGGGGGAGAAAGAGGCTGTACTTTAAAGGGGCAGTGCTGCACAGCTGATCCCAGGCTCTGTGTGGCACTGCCCCCTTTGAAATGCCACGGCGTCATTTCAAAGCGGCAGTGCTGCGTGGAGCCCAGGTTCAGCTGGGGACCCCCTAGCTGACCCCAGGCTCCATTCGGCATTTCTGCAGAACCCTGAGTCAGCTGATCCCAGGTTCTATGGAAATGCTGCGAGGAGCCCAGGGTCAGCTGGGGAGTCCCGAGCTG